CGCTTATCGGCAAGAGTTATGGCCAAAAGGAAAACTTACATTTTGGCTGCCGCTGCCGCTGCCGCTCCCATGACTCGGACTGTTGCTGTTGCTGTCGCTGGCGGCTGTGGCTGTGGCTGTGGCTGTGACTGTTGCGGCCTCTTTGAGTGGCCATCAAATCTGGCCAATTGTTCTTCAATATCGCTTAGCTGTATATCGTCGGCCATGGCCCGATTGAAGTAACAAAACGCATCCTTGCGGTCCGCTTTGATTAGCTGCTCCGTGTCCTTGTTGTGCAGCCAGAGAGCGTTGCGATTTCTACACAAATTCAAATTGCGCAATTCACTGACCGGCAGGGACAGCGCCAAGGATCGACTGGCCCCTGGCTGCTGTCCCTGTTGCAGCTTGGACAACTGCGCGGCACTCAGGCTGCCCGTTAGCATGGCCACCTCCACGTCGTCGTCGGTCTCGCCGTTGCAGGAGATGCCCGAGGAGTGGAATTGCTCGTCGCAGGTTGGCAGCTTCTGCAGGCTGCTCGCCTGCTGCGAGTGACTCTGGGCCACGGCCATGGCCAGGCTGGCTGCGGGCGACTCATTGGGCAGCTCCAGCGCTATCTCGTAGGGCGCCAGCGTGAGCTTTGGCTTCGGCTTGGTCTTCGTTCGCACCGCGGACTTCACCACGCACTTGGCTGTGGCGGCGGGGGTGGAGGCTGCGCGGTTCTTCGAGCAGCTGGCCTTCGGCGGCTTCCTCGGCGAAAGCTTCGTCACTGTGGACAGACGCGACTGCTGCGTGCTCTGCTGCTGCGGCTGCTGCTGCGGCTGCGGCTGCGGCTGCACGGCTTCGGGTTTCTCCCGCTCCCGCTCTGCAGACACACCGCGACGTCGACTCCTGCGTATGCTGGGCATGTTCCGCGGAAAGAGTTTGCTCGGCAGCTCCGCCTGGGAGCTTTTGGACAGACTGTCGCTGGGACTGCCGCTGCTCTCCGTGGTGGCTGTGCTGCCGCTGGACACTGTGTTGGCCAGCACCGAGGCGCACTCGCTGGCCATGACTATCTCGCGATAGTTCTTGGACTGGTCTTGATGCGCCTGCGGCAGGCAGATCTTCCACCAGCGTTTCTTCGAGAGTTTGGGTATCATTTTTCCAGGGGGAGGCACGCGTCAATCACGCAGCAAATCAATCAATTGACACATTAACCGTACGCGGGAACACACCTTAAGCGGAAAGCGCAACGACAATTAGTGTCGCCAGCAATTAACGGGCAATCCGCTTGCTCCAATTACGTGCCAAACGCGTAGCCCGATATCAACCGGAAAATATGGGAAAAAACACGCAGACGAACCGCTCGCTTTGAGGCCGTGGAATAGACTGAAGATTGAAGATCGCTTTGGCGGCTTTGGGGCGCGCGCGTAGAAAGTTGCTGACGGCCGCGCTGGCCAGGTTGGTGCAGGTCAAACTCACCACGAACCAAACACACACCACAAACACGCTCCCTCTCTCGCTCTCTCTTTTGCTTACAGCAAGTGCAGGCGGCGGACAGGTACCTGCTTTGAGTCAACTTTTGAGTGCATTTCGTGGTGTGGTTTGAGCGCATTCTGGCGGAGCCTCAGCCCCTTGGAAGTGGCAGATTTCTGAGTTGTAGCAGCAGCTACTGGTTGCCTGCCTGTTCTCGTTGATTGTTTAGTTGTCTTCAGGCCATTTGACACATTTCAGGCCGTTTAGTGATTGACCCATTTCAAGCAGCAACCGGACAGCGGACGGCGGACAGCGGAGAGCCGCAGGAGGGTGCAAGCCTAAGCGGAACTGAATGGCCATTGGGCGTTTTGTTGCCACATTAGCAGCCAGTCATTATGCTGCTTGGTTAAGTGAAAAGAGCCAGAGGTGGGCCACTAAAGAGTCAATCAAAAAGGGTGTTTAGGGAATTATTTTTAACTGATTTTTTAACCCAGCAATTAAATTACTATGTTGCCCCACAACTAATTACATTTTAAAAACATTTATCAAGCGAGAGCGAAAATAAACAAACTTTCCAACTTACTCTTAGAACTTTCCCAATTGCTTGGCCATTTTGCAGCGCGCTGCCGTACCACAAATTGTTTCTGGCCAACTGTAATGAGAGACGAGAAACAAATAAATTAATTTTCCGCATTTACGCAAGTCAAATATAGGAGCAAAAGAGCGAAGAGTGGCCAAAAAGTGTTGCAACTAATTGAGAGAACGACAGCAAACATAGAACATGAAACGGCAAACGGCAAATGGCAGATGGAAAATGGCTGCAAGACAAACAAAGAGAAGTGCCAAAAGTATTTTAATTGCCATGAGATGGCGGCATCAAAAGTTTATTTGACAGTTGAAACAACTGAAACAATTCATGAAACAATTTTGATTAAAAGTGCGACACGCAGAGCTGTACAGATGTCAGCGAATGTAGTTGGCAGCTGCCAGTAGAACGTGCAGGACGCGGCAGGACTACACTTCACACTCCATTCTCAACAGGTAAAAGTCAGCGCAGCAAAACCCACGTAGAACTCGAGTAACTCTGGTAAAACAACGGGTGCCCCCAGAGGTCGTAAAAGTTGAGATTTGAACGCGCCACGCCACGCCACGCCACATCGTACACGTGTTAGATGAAAGTTGCAAGCACTCGGAAAGGACTGCGACTGGGAGGAAAGTGTTTGGGTACAGCTGACGCCACTACGCGCTGCAAGATGGCGCCATAAAGCACTAAAAAGTATTAAAACAATTTACACTTTGTAAAAAAGAGCTAGAGAGCGAGCAGCAACCAAAAACAACTGTAACAAAAAACTGTTGTGCGGCTTGTACGCAGCACGTCTGGTTGGATGGGATTGGATTGGGGTGGGTGTCTCCGCGTCGGGGGGCCCGCTTGTTGTAGTTGTTATTTGTATTTATTTTTCCAACATGGCGCCCTGTCATAATCATAACTGTAGCACAGCGGGACGGGACCATGACAACAATTTGAAAGTGTGCGAGGGAGGGAGGCAGCCAGTGAACGTTATAAAAATAAAATCAAGGCTGCCGCTGACAATCGCGTTATCATAATTCCTTTCAACTAAATTCAAATAGAATTTCCCGCCCATTTGCATAAACAACGCGAGCGAGAAAGTCGTAAAGTGAAAAATTGCAAAAATATATAGGAGACACACACACAGACACACACCGTATTGTGTCTTACCCGTAATAAGGCGAGTGTGCAAAGGGAAAGGGAATCGGTGAGAGGGAGAAAGCAGGAGGCGTAAGCACTCGAATGGGGCGGACGGATGGAACAGAACAGAACGTGAAACGAGTAAAGCTGCAATTGCGCGCTCAACGGTAAAGGTGGTACAGTGGAAAGCAACGCGAAATAAAGGCAGAAAAAACTAGATGGGGAGAGCAAAGCAGAGATACTTCTTTTGTATTTCTACCAGCGAACGGCAGCGGTGTTTGCCGTGTGCATAGTAAAAGATCTCGGGCAGCGCAGTCAGCGCACGCACAGCGTAAAAGCTTCGCATGTTTCCAGCATATGCAGCGGCAGCTAAAGAACTTTGATCGGCTGCGCGCAGCGGCAGAGAAGCAAGAAACGTTTTTGACTTCGTGTCTGCTGTCTGTGCACACAAGCTTCTTTCTACCTTCTTATACCTAGCAAAACTTGCATTCTGCTTTAACTTTTCAGCGTTGCGCTTCACTTTTCAACCACTGTAAGCCCCTCTATGCAATTCTTTCATTACATCCGCACGAGCAAAAACAAGAGGGAGCAACATTTATATGAGATGCGTACCCCCAATCCGCTTGCCAATCTCAGCGGCAGTTCCTCCTGCCGACTTCCTCTTAAGACAATAAGCACCGCTGAGCAGGCAGCTGGTGGAGAGAGAGAGAGAGAGAGAGAGAGAGAGGAGAAAGCAGCAGGAGAGGCCACACACATACACTCGAACAGGCGCTGTGTAGGCGGCAAATGTTTCCCTAATGATGACGTCCCCGCCGCGACACTGCTGCTGTCACTCCTGCTGCTGCTGCTGCTCCTGCTGCGTATGAATTGTTGTCGCTGGCGGGGAAATGTGGCAAAAAGTCTGAAGTGTTGCCTGCGTTGAGGGGAGCAGCGTGGAGGCATCGTAATATTTATGAAAAATATTTTTGTATGAAAACCAAAGACAATAGCTACAGTGGAGAACGGAGAGACGTGAAGTGAAGTGTGGGAGAGAGAGTCGTGAAGTGTTGGTGGGAGACGCAATGCAATGATTACGTTGATTTACCAAATGGCGCTGATGACAGTCGAGCGTTGATGGTGCTACGCAGGGAGGCCGGGTAGGAGATGCATACCAGGGGGTGCCTCTACGTCGTGAGTTTACTGATTTTTAATTAAAAAAGGAAAAGGAAAAAAAAGGAGAAGCATCAGCGGAGGAAATGAAACCCAACCGCGGGTGAGAGCAACAAAAAGAAAGGAGAGAGAGAGAACGAGAAAAAAAAGCTCAAAGTGCGCGTCAGAAGGTTTCCTTTTGTTAATCGACTTGATGGTAAATATTTTCTTGCTGCCACCCCGCCCTTATTTGACTACAATTGTTTGTCATTGGTTCTAGGACTGTTACTGGGGGACCTGCGACTGTTGCTGCCCTGCACCCAAAAATCTCACCCTCGCACGTCTGCACCTGTCGCCCGGCCTGGCAGCCAGCGGCTTCTTCCCCCATGAGAGGAGTGTGCTGCAACATTTGCCTTTGTTATTTATGGCATTGTTGTTGCCACGTGATGCTGCCTGCCAGTCGTCGTCGTCCTGCTTTTCGATGTCGCCAGTTGATGCGTGCCGCTTTTTTTTCTGCTATTTGCTGTTGATTCTTCACGCCTCCGCACGGGGGACTACGTCGAGGTTTGTGTTTTTCATTTGACAAACATTTTGCTGTCAGCAGCAGATGAGCAAAATCTTTGAGTTGCGAAATGATTAGAAATGTTGCTATGATGGTTATCGTTAGTACAAATGCTACAGATGCTCTTACATTGAAAAATATACAACTGCTAAATTTAATTTACTGCTGGCAGCCCCTGTCTGTGTTTGTGGGTGTGTGTCTGTGCGTGCCTTTTGCTTGGGCGACCTCAAACCGATTTTATTACATAACAGAGAACTAACAGAGAACTAACAGTGAACCAAACAGCGAGCTAACAGCGGAGCTTCGGGTGTTGTTCAGTCAGAGGGCAGACCGATCACTTGCTCCCATCCTTCTCATCCTTGTCCGCCTTGGCGCGGCGCGTTGCCTTCTTCTTCTCGTACATCTTCATCAGTTGCTTCTTGCTCGGAATCGGCTTGATGTAGCCACGTTTCACCAAAAACTTGATCGACAACGTCGTGCCGCCCAATGTGACTGAGTAACGCAGTGGCGTCACCACCTTAAAACACAGAAAGGCGATGGCAAAGTGGCCCATGTCGGAGGACTGCACCTTCTCGATAATTGACTCGCTCAGATGCGCGTATTGCAGCAGCGCGGGCACATCCACGCCGATTTTGGAGAGATAGTAGAAGCCGCCAAACCAGCACATCGATGTCACACAATGCACAGGGATGAGGACATACCAATACTGTTTGTACATGTGCCTGAACCTGACGAACAGCCCCATGTTGGTGGCATCCCCAAACAAGTCAGAGGTCTTGATGGAGTCTGTCTGGTTGCTGCTGCTGCTGCTGACCACTGGTGCTGCGGCTGGGGTTGGCTGTGCGCACTTTTGGCAAAGGTTTCTGTAGCATTTGGCTGCCTGAGCTGTTGGCGAGCTGCTGCTGCTGCTGCTGAGTATGTTTGTTTTCGTAGTCAAAAAGCTAGCAAGTTTTCGATGCTTCTGTGCGGCATGTCCGATGAGCCGCGTGAGTTGTGATATGATTGGCATTACGGTTTTGAGTTTTGGAGCCAGCAGAAGGCAGTTGCTGTTGCTCTGAGCTGACTGCTGATGAATATTTCTAGCTCGTTCGTTTGACTGCTATTGTCGATGTTGCCCTGCTTTTTGTCTATAGTTCACACATCACAGCCAAGTTGATTCTATGAATATTAGTTCTAGGCATGACCCACACATGTTTAAGTGCGTTTGTGTGCACACAGAAGTCAAAAACGTTTCTTGCTTCTCTGCCGCTGCGCGCTGCCGATCAAAGTTCTTTCTCTGCCGCGACGGCGGTTCTCGGTGCATGGGCCGAAGCCACACGAAGCTTTTACGCTGTGCTGCCTGACTGCTGACTGCGCTGCCCGAAATCTTTTTCTGTGCACAGATCCGAGCATTTCACTTATTGCTTATTCCTTTTTGCAACGGCTTTTGCTATTGGGGTTGTTGGTTTTTTAAATAATTAAATGGCAGAGAGCATAATTGTAATTTAATTAAATTTACTGCTAGTAGCCCACGTGTTTGTGTGTGTCTGTTCGTGGTTTCTCTGCGGGGCGTCCTCAAACGATTACATAACATAACATAGAACTAACAGAGAACTGAACAGCGAACCAACAGCGAACTAACAGCGGAGCTTCGGGTGTAGCTTATTCCTCTGTCAGAGGGCATGCCGATCACTTTTTCCCATCCTTCTCTGCCTTTTTCTTCTCGTACATCTTAATTAGTTCTTTCTTGGTCGGAATCGGCTTGATGTAGCCCCGTGCCACTAGATACTTGATCGACAATGTCGTGGTGCCCAATGTGACTACGTAACGCAGTGGCGTTGCCACCTTGTAGCACAGATAGGCGATGGCATAGTATCCCTTGTCGGAGGACTTCACCTTCTCAATGATCGTCTCGCTCAGATGCACATACTGCAACAGCGCGGGCACATCAACGCCGCTTTTGGCTAGAAAGTAGAAGCCGACCAGCCAGCCAGCCGATGTCACCCAATGCACCGGAATGAGAACATACCAATATTGTTTATACATGTGCCTGAACGCGGCGAACAGCCCCATGTTGGAGTCATTGGAGGCTGGAGTTGGCTGTGCGGACTTTTGGCAAAGGCTTCTGTGGCCCGTGGCGGCTGCCGTTTTCGTCCACTGAGCGGCCAGTTTGCTGCCGCCGTAAAGGACACATCTTGTGTTTGTCTTCGTAGTCAAAAAGCTCGCAAGTATCCGCTGCTGCCGTGCACCTTGGCAAAGGAGCCGCGTGAGCTGTGACATGACTGCCACTGTTAGCATTTGCTCTGTTGATTGTTGATGAATATTTGTTGCTCGTTCGTTTGACTGTTATTGTCGATGTTGCCCTGCTTTTCGTCTACATGTCAGACAAAGTCAGACACGAAGTCAAAAACGTTTCTTGCTTCTCTGCCGCTGCGCGGTCTCGATCAATTGTGCATCGGGCATACGAAGTTCGTTCTCTGCCGCTGCGCGCAGCTCTTTCTCTGTTGCTGCGGCTGTTCTCTGTGCACACGAAGCTTTGAACGCTCTGCTTGTACCGACTGCGCTGCCCAAGATCTGTTTCTATGCACAAATCTCAGCATTCCTCTTATTGCCCATTCCCTTTTGCCCTTCTCTCAAGTTTTTGGGGTTGTTGTTCGATTGGCAGCAGATGTTCAGATCAGATTAGCAATTTACGCATTTCTTTGAGCAAAAGTAACAGTGACAGTGGCTAGTGGGAGTTGCTTGGAGTTGCTTCCCCTTGCTTTTGTCCAGCGTTGGTGCTGGTATTGACAGCTATTAATTCAACATTTCTGCACATATTGTTTGGCCATTTGTCAGGCAACTTGTTGACAGGCACACGTACATAATTAGCCAACATATTTTTTGTGTGAAAGTGAAAGGCGGCATTGCACATGTCGATGATTCGTTGCAAAAATTCAGCACAAAAACTGTCATCGCTGGGACGCCGCTGTGTGCACAACACTCAAAGGGGACATGGCATGGAACATTGGTGGGGGCGGGGACGGGGGATAAAAGTAAATGTGTACATAATTAAATGGCAATGCGTATAGAGTACACACAAACAATGAGTGGACAATGGACAGGGAACTGGTTCGAACCAACACCCTCAATTAGGAGACGTTGACACGAGGCAAACAAATAAAACGTGAGCGCCGCAGGGGCAAACATTTTCAAACACAATGAGAAGTGAAGAGTGAAGAGTGCCCACCCACGCCTATGACAAGTACAACCCCCACTGTGCTCAGAATCTATGAATATTGAATGGGCCGCCACTGTCGCTGCCATCAAATCAAGCAGAAAAGGAAAGCTCTCTGTGTGTATTTGTCTTAGTTAATAAACAAAGCTTTCCGTCTGTGTGTGTGTGTGTGTGTGTGTAAATAATTAAATTCTTAATTATCTCCAGCCAGCAGCAGCAGCAGCAGCAGCAGCGGAGGAGGAGGAGGAGTAACACCTCGTAAAGTCTCATATGCAGAGGAAGGCTCGAGGTTTTTTCGTACTAAAGGAATGCCTTTAACCGACACACTGTCACATTCACTTAATTAACTTTAATAATTCATATGTGTGGCATGCCACAGCAACTTTTGCTTGAAGCAGGTAGTAGCAGGACTTACACTCCACCCACCAGTTAAGTGGAAATAATGTTTTCCCGACAATGTCAGCGCCACGGCAACTAATGAGCGAATTAGTATTCATTATAAGGTGTCGCCTCGGGATGATGGGCAAGCTGCTCCTCCCTCTGCTGCTGCTTTCTTCTATTCCCTTTTCCACTTGCATTTGCATACGTAATTCCCGTGGCTTATCGGCCGTGCGTGGGCGTGTCAGAGTGGCAAAATTAAAATAAATTGTAATTCCAGCAGATAGTTCTGCCCGTAGTTGTGGTTCTTCCATGTAGTTCTGGTAAGTGTTAACGATGGCAGTGGGAACTACGAGGGAGAGACCCGCCTGGGGGCACCATTGTCTGGCGGGGATTGACTCGAGCTGTGGCACAGATAAGCCAGGTGAAATGCTAATAAAGCAGCTAATTAAAGTAGATATTTAATGTGTCTCAGTAGCTCCTTGGAGTGATGGAATTTCACAGTAAGTAGTCGCGAAAAGCAGCTTCTTGGAGTGGCATTTGGCTCCCAAAATGGAAGGTTGAGACACGAGTTTAATTGATCAATTTGATGTGCATTCTTGCCCCAACTAAAATTAGTTTTAAAAATGTATTTTAGCTCCATAGAATTCTGCTTTTCATCCACCTTCCTGCTATTGTCCCAAAGTCTTAACCCCCGGCTGCCAGCTCTTTTGTGTCCAGCATTAATTCCCATTGAACGCCTTTTAGGCAAGTCAAAAGCTCGTCAATTATCCCTTTGTATCCCGCTGTTCCTGTTTTCCGATTTCAAAGCCCAAATTACGCATTCATATCACATGACAGAAGGTGTCCTCCTGCCTCATTACCATGACCTTCAGTCAAGCGGGGGCAGAGGCAGTGACAGGAACCTGTAACGGTCTATTGTTGGGGCCACTTGATTGTCAGTTGAGACGCACTTGAAGCAGGACTAAACACTGAACTTGAAGTTCATTACGGCTTACCCGACAAACGGCAGCCCTTGTCTTTGTCTTGGTCTTGGTCTTAGCCTTGTCGCAAGTTTGTTGACTTCTAATCCAATTAGAAACTGTTGTTGGTGGCACGTACTTTCTGTTGAACTTCTCGATGGACTTTCACTGGCTCGTTAAGCAATTTGCGCGCTCAACCGAGACGAAACGAAACGAAACGAAACGCACAGAAATTTAATTCACAGACAAAGAGTCGAGCAGGAGTCGCGGAGTGCAAATTCAATTTGTTAACATTTCAATTTTCAATTTTCACCTTCGTTATTCAATTATGCACGGAGGGAACACGCACACTCACTCACTCCTGCCGCAGGATACGCGAATATTCATTAGAACGAGCTCAAACCCTTCTCTGGCAGCGAGTCCTTTGACTGTCAATCATCAAACAAAGGCAAAACTCGACACTCGATCCAACGGAAGACGCGTGCCAAAAGGATATCTTACAACCAGCAAAAGGACACCGATAGCTCCGCCTGTGCGTTGTGTGCTGCCGCGAGTGTAAACCGCAACTGAAATGCGAGCGAACTCCTGTCCGTGCGGTGCCCGGCTGTCTGGCAAGGACACGCTGCATGCTGCACGCTGGTGCCGTCGTGTCTGGCGTCAAGTGGGTGCGTGTGCTTGTGGCACATTGTTTTGGTTTGCCCCACAGCCGGCTTCGAACCGCGTTGCATACGCACAGGCGCACTGCAAAAAGCTCTCTTCGGCCGCCCGCAAAGAGCGCCGCAAAAGAGAGTTTGCTTTCTCTTTGCTTTGTATTTTGTTTGTTTTGATTGGCGGCCTAACAAATTATTCAGTTCCTTATCGAAACCAATCAGCCAGTCAATCAATTAAAAACTATTTGAATAACTAATAGTAGAGCGAATATTTAATTGCTATCAAAAATATGCACAAGAAAAGCCAGCAAATGTGGCATGCTTGGAACTCAAATAATGAATAAATGGAGCTGTGCAAATATGCAATAAATAATAGTTTCCTGAAGGATTTTCACCATATTTTCAGCACGAAAAGTTCCTTAATTATAATCTTAATTTTTGCCACATTCTGACACTCTCGGAAATAACTTTTGATCCAGCCAGAGGTGTCCAGAAATTGCCGCTTTTATTGCCAAAATCCCCCAACTCAAATGCTAAGTTCTCTGCCTTAAACTTGCGCCAGCTTCCACCCATAAACCATTCCATTTGATTTGCTTCATCAATGAAAAGATCGCAATGAATGTAAATGAATGGAAATTAAAATCAATCAGTTTTAGTGTGGCCAAAGAGCCCGGCCAATACACTCGTAATGCAGGCACTTAAGCAGCCCCAAGACCAGTCGGAGAACAGTCAGGGAAAGTGCCAGTCAGTGGTGGGGCACAGTGCCTGAAGGACGACATTTATGCCACCCCAGAGACTTGGCCATTTACGATGGCCATGGCAAACCGCACAGGAGACAGGAGCGTGGGCGACGCTTGACAACTTTGCTTAAAGTTATTTGCAATTCTTAGACAATTCTTGGACATAAATGTGCATGCGTTACGCACCGTTGAGCAATTACGTGTGGGGAGGCAGGAAGGTGATTCCCACCCTCGTGGATTTGAATGATTTTTTGTGCCTCACTTCTTCTTGCTTTGGCTTCTCCTTCTTTGCTGACTCCTTTATGGGGTGACTGACTGCGAGAGAGGGTGGCGTTTGCGACAGTCTGACGAATTTGGAATTGGAATTGAAATTGCCTCCCCGCCACCCCACCACGCTGGCACACACACTAAATTAATGAATGTGTGAAAAACGTTCAGTGCAGGGCAAATGCTCGTCTTCTATTAAACAGTAATAACGATTGAGCTGCTCGAAGTCTAAGTCCTTGCCCTCGTCCTAGTGCCTGTCCACACTTTGTTCGCATGTGTCAGGCGCAACTTTACGAGCGGTTCGAATACACTTTTGGCACAAGTTTTTACGGCAACAAGCGGAAATGGCATTTTTACTGGCCATCTAAACAGTAACAGCGACCCCCAGCTTCTGGCCCCCCCCACCCCCCCAAGCTGCCATCGTAACTGCTCACCCTCATGGAAATGCCGCACAGATTGTGTCCGAGCCCCTGTCCAGCTGTTCCGTGTTTGGGGCTGCCTTTTGCCTGTTCGTCAATGATGGGAAAATTGAAAACTACGAAAGGGAATGGAAAGAGGAACGGGGTGGGAAGGCATTTTCTGCTGCAATGGCACAAAAATTGATTTGTTGTCGGTTTCGATAGAGGTTCGGACAGTGCCAGGGCAGCAATGGGAGAGCGACAGGGACAGGGACAGGGACAGGGATAGGAAGTGCTGTTGGAGCAGCAGCACGGACAGCAGCACTCGGTGGTTCTGATTCCGTTTTCAATCTAATTTATGGTCACTGCAAGTGCAAGTAAACATGTGCGACAAACGACCTTATGAAGCCCGGAAACTTTTGCTGCTCCCATAAGCTGTTAAATAAAAATACTTTTCTGCT